GACACGCAGCAGGATTCTCAGCAGATGTTCACTATTTTTTTAAATAGTGTCATTCTCTTAAAAGTATATAAAAAAAATTTTTAAAAGAGAAAATAAAAAATCAAAAAAGCCCAACGCGGGGGTCGAACCCGCAACCTTCAGATTAGAAGTCTGACGCTCTTCCATTGAGCTAGCCAGGCCAATCTAACTTTTCAGACCTTTCTCGGAATATAAAAAAAATAGCATCTCATTCTGAAGGTATTTTTTGACATAATGGGTTATCAAAAAATCTTATTTTATGTTGAATTTTTTCTCTCTTCCAAGATTTTTTATTAATAATTATATATAAATCAAATAATTTAACTTAAATAAGAGAAAACACTGTTAAAAATTTATATATTAGAGGTCATCTTAAACCAAAAAATAAAGCAAATTAACCATTACTTAATAATGAAGGAAATGCTTACTGAAAGCTTTTGTATCTTAGAAGTAGAATTAAACTTTGGCTATTTTGCTAATTTTGTACAGCCTCTTGCTGATAAAATTTAGACATAGGAAACAGTGCAGATGACAAGATTCTCTAGTCTTCTGTTTTCAGGAGACATATTAGAAATTATTTTTAATATTTTTACTAAATGCATCGATTAATAATCTTAGTATTTCTGCTACCAAGCTGTGCAAAAGAGCCCGAGGTTCTTTGAGACCAGAACTTAAAAATCCACAATTCGTTGTTCAAAAAGATAGTTTGTTATCACACAGAGGCAAATACACATAATCTTCAGCTTTCTGCTACTGCATGGCACCTGCCACTTATTTTTAATTTGGTATATGAGTGAATCTACTCGGTTGAAAAGAGAGTGCCATTTTCTGAATGGAAAAGTCATTGACAGTGCAGCAAATTGCATTACTGATTAATAAACAGTTGCCATTCTCGAATCTGCCAAAATCACCGTACTTTAAAGTGATATTTTTTGACAAATACAGAATGTGAAAATGTCAACTGGTCAATGCAGCCAATACCACGCCAGAGGCATGGAACACAGCCTACCAATTGATTTATGGTCTGATTGTCCAATGTCCAAACATCTCTGTGATTTGCCATTGCTCGCTGAGTGATGGACTTGTTATAACGGTGCTGTATCTTCTGGCTGAGTGCCAGATCCCTAAGCTTTTTTATACTCAGCTCTTCTCTGCTTGGTCACTCATTGTGCACGCTATAGAGCCTGTCATCCAATAAGAGGCTGGAATAGTATGTAAAGGCACTACTAGGGCAAAGAAAAGCGAGCAATCAATATTAACTCCACTGAATATTCCAATATTCATAGCGATGCCGGATTTGCCTGCTGTACTTACGCCAATGTTAAAATGGATTCAAATATGGAGTCAAATGCCCCAAACGTCAATGAATTTCTATAAGCTGTGGCAACTTGCTGCTAGCTTACTGAACTACTTCATATGGATATGGTGGAATGACCATGTCAATTCTATTGGATATTGATTGCTATATAGCTCCTTTAATACTTTTAGCAGCAAGTTTGAAATGTCAACGACAAAAAAATTCAGCAGAATCGCCTATTTTCGATTATGCTCATTTAGCTTACTTGAAAGTTCCCAGTATCTAATTTTATTAAATAAATGGCATACTTATAAAGCTAAACTGAATTGAAGGCACTAATGTCCTGTTCCTGACAGTATATACAGAAACAACACTTTTCCAGGATCCTGTGGTACTTTTCATGATATAAATTGTATTGATTTTGCTTATTGCAGAAATAATACAATAACAATAACGTCAATTAAGCGGAGAGAGGAAACTCGTTGCATCTGATACTTAAAGTCCGCTAATACTACCTTCCTATTGTAAATAATTGAAAGTGACAATGAAGGATCTGCTTGGTTGAATGATTTACCATATGAGAACATATAAGGTAGCAAAGTGTTGATATGCAAAGCGAGCAGCTACACAACAGTTAACGAATGGTAATGTGATAATAGCATTTGGCAATGCAACATAAGAGATATTTAACCCATTTATAATTGATTAGCAAAAATTGTTAAAACGCAAAAATATACTAACAATTCCAATTTTTTTAAAAAAAAATCCTTGTGCTTGTACAAAATAGCACAAAAACTATATGGCATCTCTATAAATTGACTACCAGCAAAAGCAACTCAGCTTTCGAAGAGGATATTATAAATAGCCATATCACTCTGAAGCATCTTTCTATTAATTATTACCACAGACTATACAGGTAAGCTAAAAGTGTTACTGCATCGTTGTATATTTTACCTTTCCTATTCCAAAATCTATTCTTCGTCTAGAAGGAATTGATGGCATATTAATGGATTTTCCAATTAATCCAATTTTTTATTGTAGCATTGGCTATGCTGCATATAATCCGGTAGGTAAATAAAAAGAGGCATACAGTAGTTGAATTCTAACTTTCCAACGTTCTTAAGCATATGGTTTGGCTGTTCATTAACTACAACACTAATCTTAATGTTTAACAGATCAAATCAAATATTTTTTTTTTGCGCTTTTTTCTCTTTATTTGTTTAGTTGCAATTTGTCTTTAACTCTGAATAGTTGTAACGAAGGATAGAAGTGAGTATGGCGAAGAAGAAGCAGCAAAATCCTCCATTAGTTACAGTACCGGTGGATGAGTCGGACGATGAGTATCTAAGTGCAGAGGACATTGATTTTGTGCAACAAAACGCCGAAAGCCTTGGTTTTCTAAGCTCAGTTAATCCAGAGAGCTTGTTGAATATCAAAAAGAAGACCAAGGAAAAGCGGCGGACTCGTAAAGCAAAACCATCTGTTCCACCACCTACAGAGCTAACAGAGTCTGAGGACGAAGACAGCGATTTGGATGCAGCGTTGGTAGCAGAAGATAGCGATTCTGATATGGAGATCCTGAGTGGATCTGAAGAGGAGGAGGAGGAGGAGGAGGAGGAAGAGAAAGATTATATTAATAGCAAAGAGAGACGGGCGTTGAAACGAAAGGCTATGTTCGGTGATGAGATGAGCTATGAGCAGAGTGCGCGGAGCTTTGTACAGGCAGGAAAGAAGGTCAAAGAAACAAACAAATTGCCGATCAAGACAGCAGATGGCCGATTGAAAGCTGCTGAATACTCTGACAGTGAGGAGGAAGAAGAGCAATTGCAAAAGACTGAGGCTGAGGCTGAGGCTGAAACTGAGACTGAGTCCGAGTCCGAATCTGAGAGCGAAGAAATCCAAAAAGAAACCCCAGAAGAAATCCCAGAAGAAAG